ACGCGTAAAAAAAAAAAAAAAAAAAAAAAAAAAAAAAAAAGAATAATAATTGCCACCATAACACCCCCTCCCTCTTGGAGTGTTACATATCGATGGTGAAAGTGCAAAAGTGCGTACCTCGATTTGTGACAGTTTTGAGTTAGCTGCATAAACGCGTTGATGAAGATGTCGATGTCGTCTATCTGCCAGCAAGAGATAATAATCGAGAAAAAATCGGAAGTCACCTAAGACCGTAGAAATTTTGTTGCGTATCTCGGGCTTAAGTGCAGAAATGCATATCTGGTTCTGGCCCCTTCATTAGACCCGGCGCGTTTTACGCACAACGCGCGCTCTTCAGCGTTTCCCGCGAACAGCATTTATCAGCTCATCAGCTGTTCCTTGTTTTTATTTACTTTAAGGAATTTGCTGATTTTGAAAAATTGCTAAATGCTTATTACTCGAAGGCCCTTCAGAATGATCAGTTTTATTAGAATCAATCGAGTCATACTGTGCTTCATCTACCGTATTGGATCAACTAGAGCTTCTAAACAAGTTTTAAGTAGGAATAAACTCTATTTTTGATCTTAGTGATAAAGAATAGGTTCAACACGGTAATTGAAAAAATGCGTATCTTGTGATCAAATTTCATTTTCCTATCATACGTGCGATGTATACAATTCTACAATCCTTGATCCGGTCGCATGAAATCAAACTAAAGCTTCTGATAAGGAATTGTAAGCGTGGGACTCTTTTTTTAGTCTTTAGATGATCAAAATCCGCCAGAAACAGGTTTAAAACACTAATTCCAAAAATGCGTATCTCGTGATAAAATGTCAATTCTTAGTGCCGAAAACGAGAATCTCGGCATTTCTGCCGTACTTTCTAACAGCTCGAGAAATTATTCAAAATGCTGATGGAGTCAGAAAAAGCATCATATTCTTGCTATCCTAAAGAATTATGCCCATTCTACTAACAATACACAGACCTCCCCCACACACACACACACACACCCTCTCACACCCTGACGGACTGTAAATAGTTTTTTTACTCTCCTGGAAATTCGTATTTTCCGAGATACGCGCGCACTTCTGCACTTTCGCCATCGATATTCTTTCAAGTACTTTTCAAATTTTTCCTTGCTTTGGCCTTGTACTTACACTGCAGGGCGTCAATTCCTTACTTTTTCATCACCTTTTCCTTGCTTTATCCCCAGTTTTTTCAGAATGCCTTTTCTTTTGGGTGGCGGGTTCTAGTAATCCTTACTTAGGTAATTACTAATTTTCCCGCATTTTCACATACTTCCACCAGACACGATGAAAACATGACACCTCGAGCTTCAAGAAAATAAGGTTGGCTTTAGCGTTCAGCAGCAAAAAACGAATTCCAAGCAATCCAAATTTGTAAAAATAGCCACAAATAGTAGTTCAAAGTTGCAAAATGTAGTCCTCATATTAAATTTCGTCGTGATATCGCCCTTAAAATGACGTGCGAGCGGTAAATGTCATTGTCTATGATGCCAGCTTTCCCGGAACCATGATTATATTTTCGCAAGTTATTCTACTTATCGCTTGGGGCCGATCGCTACATTTGGACTACTTTTTGCGACAAAGAACTAGGTACAACTTCTGACTCATTTCAGTAACAACCCAAGTGCCATTAATTTCCATACGAGGGTAAGTTTTATTTATGGATGAAGGGGAAGGACAATTCCTTGCTGCAAGATGCAGTCCTTTAAGCTTACAGCATAAAAACTCACACACTGAAACACAGAAAACAAGACTCACACTTGCGAACTTTTTGCTGAGAGATCTTCGTAATCGTGTTTATACTCATTTTTACGTAGGCAGCGCCTGGAATGTTCCCTGCCTTAGGAATGCTATGTATCAATCGAGGTCATTCGATGGCGATAATCGAACAGCAATCGAAATCCACCGCGCGAAAAAGACTGAGGACTCAAGAAGCACAACTGCAGTGTGATGAGTTGCGTTGAGGCGTATAAAAAGTGCCTTAAATTTTATAGTATACCACACCTTATACCCCCGGGTGTATACTCACCCGAAATCCTCCATGAATATCTGGGTATTCATCCGGGATTTTGACCATATTTGGCGCCAGTTTGTTCTTTCAATTAATTTTGGTGTTGTGTTGTTTAAAAGTATATTTAATCCATACATAAATATTAATGGAATTAAAGTGATTTAACGTGTTAATATAATACTCCTTGACTTTCTGCACATTCTTGATTCTGAGAATGCCTTTGACATATTGATTTAAATTACATGATTTCTTTCACATTTCTAATTGTATAGTAAGGCTTGATTTGTTAATTTGGGCGATAAATGACGATGGGTTCTTGCATCTTTGTTTTATCATTTTATAAAATGAGAAGAAATGGTATCTCGGTACGTTTACGTATTTCGCAAGTTCATTAGTAATTTTTATTTCCAAAACTACGGCTACTCTACCGTGACACTGAGGATGGATGAAGGGAATTGCCAAAAAACTGGAGTTACCCTGGTAAAAATTGGCAGTAGAATCTGTGTTCCAAAATACCATAGACCTACAGCGGGCTGTAAGATTTCCAATAGCTTCTATAGCCGGCTACACAATTTCTTATAGCCTTTTATAGCCGATGGCGATTAAGCAACAGCCAGGCGATAAAGTGTATGCTAAACGTTATACTAATTACGGATGCTAGGACTTGGTGAGTTTTTGGAATACTGCTCTCTTTTTGGGCCGTAGTATCTTGATTTATTTTGCGAGGAAAGCTCCGTACTTTTGATGGATGCCTGCCATTACTAATATATTAGAGCGCCTTCAGTTTCGTATGATACTGTGCAATACCTCTGGTGTGAAATAGTTGCTTCAAGCGCCGTGGCAGGCGGGCAGCCAGCGCGAAACACGCATTGGCGCCTACAAACCTAACAGGGATACTTTACGCGTTGCGCGATGTATGAAGTATCCCTGTTAGGTTTGTAGGCGCCAGTGCGTCGCCGCTCCGCTTTGTGTTAGGCTCTAATATTTAATCTGGCGGAGTCAGCGTTATTCAACTCATGATTTTGAAATGTTTGCAAATCCTGTATGGATTATTCTCATTTTAATTGATGAGCAAATATAATGTGTGTTTTGTAAATATTAAGGTGGTTTTGTATCAAACTTAATGATTTCCAAAGCACACGAATTTCTACACAATTTTTTATAGCCTTTTATAATCGATGGCGAAAAAGCAGCAGCCAGGCGATAAAGTGTAAAACCCGGCGATAGGAACTATAGCCCGGCTGCATAATTTTTTATCGCTTCGTATAGCCCGGCCGTACGATTTTCTCCGCATTCTACAGCCAGCTATGTGATTTTCTGTAGCCTTCTTTAGCCGACTATAAGAATTCCTATGGTATTTTGAAACGCAGTTCTTATCGCCAATTTTTACCAGGGTAGGGCTGCATACCCGAGGCCTATAATACTCGCATAAATATGGGAATCGATGATGATATTTTAACTTCATCCTAATCTTCCTCTTGCATCAATGTGCCCTTGGCTCCTAGACGAAGTACTTATATTGGATGTGGGCTGAGCTTCAACCAACAGCCATGTGACATGCTTCCGGCTGCTGGAGGGTCAAAAAAGGAAATTTTTGTGGAAAACTTCCCAGTAAGTCTCAAATAAATTTTACTCGCCTTGGGACTTCAGATATCTTTGCCAAACTTTAATTGGGGTCAAAATTTCCATCTAATACATTTCCCTTAGAGGCCTTAGAGAGGAAAAATGAAGAGAGTATTCAAATAAAACCCTGATTACTTTATCTACCTACTTAAATAATAGAGTAAGATGGGAAAATTGCACAATTAATTTAAAAACGAATTTGTAACGTGTGTGGTGGGCAAAATTTAAGCATTGCATTATTCCCATTGAGGAAAGTGATTGAGGTGTTAAGTGTGATTGAGTTATTGACATGATACATAATACTCTCTAGGTCATACTTCTAGGGCACACTCCCAGGTGCTGAATAATCGGGGAAACACCCAGGTGCACGGCGGCATCACTTATCATGCTTTACCTAACTTGTAACTTTTGCGAATTTTCAGTATTTTTTCTGATTAGATGCCAGATTTGGAGCTCGTTTTTATTTTTCTGTTAATGAATTAGGTAAAAAAAAGACAGAAAAAATATGGACGGCGAAACTGCAAAAATGCGTACCTCGGTTACGGTGTTTCGAAATCTCCGCTACTATATTTGATTTCTTAAACGGAAAGCGAACCATCATCATGGTTTGAAGTTTCAAAGAATATTCTTCATACAGAGAAGAAAAATCAACACTGAAATTTCCAAAAAAAAAATAACTTTCAGTGGTTTTCCAAGTAGAGAGAAGAGAATGACAGGAAGTCTGCAACGCCGCAAATCGAGATAGGTACGCATTTTTCCAGTTTCACTGTCGATATGCATTACTGCGAGGCCGCTGCTCTGCCGTGCTAAGGAAGAACGCCGTATGAACCTTCAGACGTTGCCAAGTTTCCTTCGATGGAAACCGAATTTAGTGGAAAAATTGTGAATGTTTTCTTCCAAACTTTTCAGACAATTTTGACAATTGAATCTAAAATATTTGAAAATTTCAGGGAAAAATGTGCATGAATATCGTCAAAAATTGACGTTTTATAAAGGGAAATTTGGCAACTCTTGAATGTTCATGCGGCGTTCTCCCTTGGCACGGCAGCCTGCCGTGCTTAAGGAAGAACGCCATATAAACTTTCGAGAGTTGCCAGATTTCCTTCATTATATTTATTTTTTAGGAAAGTATATTTTTTCTTCAATGTTCAGAATCTTTTGGGTAAAATTGCAAACTAAATAATCTGAAAAATCTGAAGAGAACTGTTCATAAGTTCACTGGGAAATTCGTGTTTTATCAATCGAAATTTGGCAACGCCTGAGGGTTCATACGGCGTTCTTCCTTAGCACGGCAGTGCTGATGACAGCATTTAAGGTAGTTGAAAATGATGATTTCTTCTGGAAACTTACAACAAAATTCGTCCATCATCGATTTAAATATTTTATTGCGTAAAGATGAAGAAACAAGGGGGTAAAAAAAGAAAAAAAAGACTCTAGCAGAGTTTTACACAAAAATGTAAAGAGGAGAGATTATACAAAATTTACAAATATAGGTACGTTGAAAATTAACATATACCTACCTACCTACGGGTGAAAATCATGAACATTGTCAAGGAATCACTAGGCCTCATCTTCTAGAGCGAGGCTCTAATCTGGCTTTCGGCTCCATGGCAGATCTATCTTCGGCCCCAGTCCATTTTCGACCAAAGAGGTCATTCCGTAGATCATAAAAATCTTTACGATAATGACGGGTTGAGTTCCTCCTTTTCATGAATGCAGCATTATGCATTTCAGAAGAGGATTGACCACTCCCTTCTGACATTCTGCTATATTTTGCAGCAAAGGCAGCTTGATCATTCTGCATTAGTTTCCTTTTAGGAATCCATCGATCAAAAGCAAACTTCCAGTCATTTTTCCAGTACATGTCGGCCATGATCATCATGACCTGAAAAAAAAAACGAAGGAATGATTTCTGGGCACCGTTATCTCAGTGGCGGGAGAGTCCTGCCGCAATCACACGCTGAATTTGGCAGCTGAATGTGGCAGTCAACAGTCAGCGCTCAACAGCTGAAATTTCACTAATTCGGGTTATTTTCATCCAAATGTGTATCAAATCTATTCGAATAGTTCAGACAAATCCGACATTATCCGATGGTCGCTGAGAATCGTTGCTGAATTTTGCGCGTCACGCGCAAAATTCAGGCATCGGCCCGATGACTTCCATATTCGAGCCACATTCAGCTTGTAATTGCGTCATCCGATGCATGCACTGAGTCAAATAACCTACATTCAGGGTTGCCACAAAATTTATAAAGTTAAATTCCCTGACATTTCCCTGATTTCCTTGACGCATTTAGCAAAAATTTCCATACAATTGAGATAACATCAAATGGATAGAGGTCAAGATCACGATGACGCGGAGTATAAGACCCAGAAGTTGGTGGAGGAGTAGGACCGCAAATGGGGCCTCGAGGTTAGTGTCCGTAAGACAAAAAAGATGTCAGTTGGAGGTGCTCAGCAAAGCATAGTCCTGGAGGATGGTCAACATATAGAAAGTTGCGAACAATACAAGTACCTGGGGGTGAAGCTGACTTCGGATGGGAAGCTGGATCAGGCCATTCGGGACCGTAATCTTCTAGGAAGGAAAGCCATCGCCATGCTAAATGGGATCCTTTGGGACCAAAGGATTTCCAAAGACAANAAATTCCCATACAATTGAGATAACATCAAATGGATAGAGGTCAAGATCACGATGACGCGGAGTATATGACCCGGCAGTTGGTGGAGGAGTACCGCAAATGGGGCCTCGAGGTTAGTGTCCGTAAGACAAAAAAGATGCCAGTTGGAGGTGCTCAGCAAAGCATAGTCCTGGAGGATGGTCAACATATAGAAAGTTGCGAACAATACAAGTACCTGGGGGTGAAGCTGACTTCGGATGGGAAGCTGGATCAGGCCATTCGGGACCGTAATCTTCTAGTAAGGAAAGCCATCGCCATGCTAAATGGGATCCTTTGGGACCAAAGGATTTCCAAAGACAACAAGAAGAGGATTTATAACTCGGTTGTCAAGCCTATTATCACCTATGGCAGTGAAGTGTGGCAGTTGAAGAAGCGGACCCAAGAAATGCTCAAGGCGACCGAGATGGATTTCTGGCGAAGATCGGCTGGAATCTCGAGGAGAGAACGTGTCAGGAATGTACGTGTCCGAGAGATAATGGGCGTTGAGGGGACGATTGTGCACGATATCATGACCAAGCAATTGGTATGGTATGGGCATGTGCAGAGAATGGCTGATACCAGGTTGCCGAAGAAGGTGTTGGAGTGGGTCCCCCCAGGTAGGCGACGGAGATGGCGTCCAGCCAAACGGTGGGTAGAGGGCATCCATGAAGAGATGGAGAGATGCCAGCTTCCGGAGGATCTCTACCATGACAGATTCCTAGCGCCCTAGCGCGCCGTAAAAGCGGCTCATACATACATACATCAAATGGATAGAGAGACATAATAATTATGTTTTATCATTTTTCATAATTATTAGAAATACTTTTCAGCCAAAATTTGTCATCCGAAACGTCTAGAGTCCCTTTACAGAGAGAGTAGAGACAACGCGGCTCATGGATGTCACAAACGGTAATAAAGATTACACAAATCGGAGTTTTTCTGTAATCTTTCATCATAACCCATTCCCTCTCTCATTCCATTTGTTCCTTGTCGTACCCCCAATTCCCCGGTCCATTCCAGTTTATAATCTTTGCAATCGATGAAAATGTAATCTTTATTCCCGTTTGTGACACTGTGGAAGCCTAAAATATGGGAACCAATCAGAAATGGATTCGCATTGTCTTAAACTCTTAGTATAGAGGGAGGGACTCTAAAAACGTCAAGCCCATTCAAATAAAGGCATGCAACCTAACAATTTTTCCCTGACATTGCCAGGTTTTTGCTAACTTATTAAAATTCCCTGGTATTTCCCAGTATTCCCTGACTGTAGCAACCCTGCTACATTCAGCACCCGCGCATTTTTTTTTTTATATTTTCTTCGTCTTCTTATTAAGTAAACGTTGCGGGAAGCGCGTTGACGGTGCTACGGGACTGAAAACTGAGGGCAGGGCCGGATTTTCCTACTTGCCGCCCATGGGCCGCCTGTATTATGCCGCCCCCTTTTCATTCGTTTTGAAACATCAATAAAAACCATCGAGTGAACGTGCCAGCGGGGGAGGGGTGCATATGACACGTTTACTCCTGTTGAACACATTTTTTGGGAAAGCTCTATCAACACTAATAGCAAAAGGTCACGGAACTTTGCGCGAAAGTCAAGTTTCGTAAACCCATCTCTAATGGACAAGGCCTTCCATTCATAGGAAATTCACGAAAAAATTATGAAAGAATAAACACAAAATTTGGTCCAATGATTTTAACTTCCGCCGCCGCGCCGACCGCACCGTGTTTGGCGCAATGCGTGAAGTATTCACGCAGTCTTGTAGGCGCTAACCGTTTCACGCTGACCACAATAACCGCACTGTGTTTGATGCAATGCGTGAAGTATTAGTGCAGTCTTGTAGGCGCTAATATGTGTTACATGCCGATTGCCGCGCCGAGGGCTTCTCCTTTTCATCTCAAGTCCTCGTCATCATTTCTCCCTAAGTCGCGCCGTTCCAGGCCAAATTGTGTGTTTGGTTTCTCTCTTAACTCTATACTGTATGCTTTTATGCTTTTGTTCTAAAAGGGAAAAACAGTTCGAGTAGGAACCTTCGACCCAACTACCAACAAAAACAGATCTGGAATTCATAGTCCTTGAAGTAAACGGTCCGAAGAGTTAAAAAAGCGCCTAAGTAAACTGACTGACAATCAGAGTTGTTACGCCTTGTGTCTACGACGTTTCATGGGATTTTTCCCAAGTTCGAATCGCAGGAATGAAACTTTTGGGCCTTTTCCCCGTTGAAAAACATACCAGAATTTCTTCTTCTTCTTTTTAAGTCGTTTCAGGGACTCCATCAGGACTCTTACTTGGCACTGTAATTAGTATTGACTGACTCAATATTTTTCCCAACTTCGCAAGTGAGATTTTTCCCTGGGACAAATCCAATGAAACGTCCCGTGGAGACAAGGCCTTAGAGTCCACACCAAATAAGTTTACGTACTTCTAGACTGCGATAGAAGATCGTCTGACGTCACTTTTACATGTAAAGTACATGCAATAAACAAAAAATGGCGTATCTTCTGTCGCAGTCTAAAAATACGTAGCTTATTTGGCGCGGTCTCTTAAGAGCTCGCTTTTGCGCTATCGCGTCTATGATCTATAGATCATGAACTTTGACTACGTTCTTTTGAATGATAAAATGAGAGAAAAAAAAGGAGAGAGGAAAAAAATAATAAAAATAAATACATGAATATTTAAATAAAGACAGTTCCAAGACAAAAGAGTTGAGCAACTCGTCAAAATCGAGGTCTTAATTAGCTGAGAGAACATCAATTTTTGAAACTAAACAGAGAAGGAAAATATACTTCGATTGCAAGTTTGGAGAATTTTGAAGGCGCCAAGAAAGTATTGAAGGTCACTTCCACCATCTCGGATTTTAAAATTTCCTTAACTTGAGTTGAAATTGAAGTTTCCCGCCAAAAATGTCACGTGGTGCCAAGTTTTACAAAAATCGATCGGACGGGAGCCAGGACTCCAGTAGCCACACGTGCATTTTGTAGGTTCAGTGGTACTCTACACGGTAGTAAATGACATCAGTCCATTCTCAAACGTTAGTACGCCTTCATTGTCGTCTGATACTGTGCAATACGTCTGTGGCAGAATAGTTTCTCAGAGCTCCTTCAACAGTGTCTCTTTAACTTGACAGCTAGAGATCACGACTGAGTAAGTAACGCTGGAAATACCCTCCAGAGCGGGGGCAGGAATACATTTTTTCACCACCGACAGAGAGGTAAAAAATATTCAAACCTCAATTTGTGACGTTACAAGTTTAACATTGCCTATTTTACGTGTGTGATTAAAACAAATATGAAAATTTTAAACTGCCGACACTTTCCCGAGGAATGATGACAAATATTACCGATTACTATGATAAATTGAAATGAGTCAATTTGTATGCTTTCATTAAAGAGGGGGGAAACAGTGTGAGTAGGAACTTTCAAACTGAGAAAAACAGATCCAACATTTATTTGCCCCTGAAGTGAATGGGTCCAAAGAGTTGAAAAAGCACTGAAGCAAACTGACCAGAAATTAGTGTTATCACTATTGCTACTATGACGTAACAGCTATGCTGTAAAAATCACAAACTTTGATTACCGAATAAAATTCACAGCTCAACAAACTAAATACTTATGTATTTGTAAGATTTCCTAAGAAATGGTGCTGTTGTTCATGGATTGTAATGTGCAAAGCACGTACGAGTCGCTGGTAACAAATAAAATAGAATTCCATAATTTTTTTCAATTTCTGATGACTCTTAGCTCATCATACTTAAGGTGTAAATTTTATTTTTAAGTCCTGAATTATAGTTTTAAAAACAAGCAGTGCAAAAGCCATGCTAATTTATTCATTACTTACCAGTAAAATAAGATTTTCCGGTTAAAAATTAAATAAATTTATACAGAGATACAGAGGGTGCAATTGAAGTATGTATAGCACTGGGAGTGGAGGGCTATTGCTGCTTCAAGATTTAACAACAGGTTACGCCTGCTTTTTCTAGATGCCACCTGTGGCCAGTGTTCCTGTGTTTATAGGGTGCCAAAGCTTCATTTTTAGGTGCATATTGCATTAGGTGACTGGATGAAGTTGAAACACTGAGCTTCATGTTCCAAACGAGAAGCGATATTGTGTAGGAGAGATCATGCAAGTTTTTCTTTTAAACTAGAAAAAACGGTAATAACAAATAATTGATTGAGGTTATGATCTTACCTGGTTGATAGTTAGATTTTTAGTGCCAGAGCCCCAAAGAAGGTGCTGATCTATCGGAAATTTAGCCATTCTCAGCCCTTGCTGCTTTGCTCGACTTAAGGACGCTTTTGAATGACTAACCATATCAACCATGGCACCTGAAAAATGTCAAAATTTACTAGTTGTGTATTGAAACTGAAATCTTTTAGACTAAGTGTAAGCGAATTTGCCAATGTCTTTCAGAGTTCAGTACGTATAAAACTTGATTTCTCATTTTAGAGGGAAAAAACTCATTCGAGCACAATTTTTCCTCAGAGAGGAAACTTCTGTTTTATGAGACACAAATAACGATCGATCAGGAAAGCAACTGTAAACACGCTTCTGGTCTAACTGGACCAACTATCATTATAGCACAGCCTCCTAACTTTCTGCTTCCAAGCTCAGAGACGTCATTGTATCAAAACCGAGGTTTGAGCAAGCAGCTGTGGTAGTGAGAAAACTTACTGCTATCTGGTGAGTAAATTTTCCTAACAGCTCCCCTAAAACCCTGGCCATGGCAGTGTTGCTTTAAAAGTATTGCAGTTGGACGCACGTATTGTTTCAACTGAGTGTTGGTGATTTGGCTAATGTGCGTTAAAATTCAGAACAGATGAAAAACTCAAATTCTAATTCTGAGGAGAAAAAGCTCCATTCAAAAAGTTTCTGAATCCTTAACCCTCTAAGACATTGGATTACGAATTCGTAACAACATATTTTATGGGTTTTTAAAAATTGAATCTTCCCTCTGTGGCAAAATTTATGCTCTTTAGTTTTTCTCTTTTTTTGAATAACTGATTCTCAAAAATTTCAAATTTTGAAAGAAAGTTGGTACTCTGTGTTCTTTGCGCAAGCCACGAAGTAGGTAGATTAGTGTACCCCAGACTCTCATATAAATTAATTCATGCCATAAAGGGTTAAGAATAACTCATTATGGATGCAAATGTGTGAGTTAAACTTACCAATTATATAGATGTCATCAATGTTGATGGTGGTCAGCTCGTTCCTGCAGTGGGGTGTCAAATACACGAGCTTGTCTCTAGGGTACAGGTCCAGGTAACTTTTAGAGGTGAATTCAAAGGGGTATTCAGGATCATATAAACATGGCACAGACTGTAGCAACTTAGTTGCCATTTTGCCCTCCTTTTTATAGTTACAGAAAACAAAATTAGAAGGGCAAAGATGCTTACGATGTTCACCAAATCCTTGAGTTATCTGATTCACTGCTGCCTGTGTTTCCCGATGCGACATGTCAGCATCATAACTGCAGTCCATAATGATTGTTGGAGCATACATTGATGCTAAGTGAAGACCTAGATTATTAAATCTATCAATAGTTGAATCATATATTCTTAGAAACAGAGAAGTGTTCGACAAATTATAGACTAATTTTTCACCAGAGTCTTCTTCAGGATTCTCCTTTCTTTGAGCTTTGAATTCTTCAAGGGCTGCTCGTTTGCTGAGTTTTTTCCGTGCCTCACTTTCCTTAAATCTCTCTTTCATCAATAAATATTTTAAATAATTTCTTCTACGGGAGTGTGATTTGTGTTTCAGAAGCTCTATGTAGTGGTTGGTAGATAATTTGGATGGTACTTGCTCACCTTCCTCATACAAAACATAAATCTCTGCCATTATGATTTTCAATTGTTTCAAGAGAGCAGGGTCATTATTGGTGATGGCTTCGTAATCGACATCCTGATAAAAAGACTCTGCAGATTCCTCTGTGCTGACTGTATTATCAGAGAGCTCATCTGCTTGTGAGCCTTTGGAAAATAATCTGCACCCTTGGTAAGAAGGGAAATTGGGCACATTGTTCAGATAAGTACGTTTGCATACTGGTGAATGGATCTTGCGCACGATGTCAGAGGGACTGAAATAATTACTGAATCTGTAAGAACGACTGAATGATCTTGACACCACAGGCGTTCCCAGTAATATGAATCTCCAAGAGCGAAAATTTAACATATTGCAATTTCAAAGAGGAGAATACGTTTCACTATTGAACCATGGTTTGAACACGAAACGGGTTACGAGCCTGACATTTTGATGATCTGATGACAGCGAGAAATGACCGAGGATCGAACTGGAACCGTGAAAATTTAGATTCACTGCTAATTTCTCTTAAATCTTTGCGTTTGCAAAAATTGGAGCCTTTACTTATGGAATATTGTCACGACAGTAGTTTGCACTAGACCTATTTAGTTTGCACCTCTGCGGCATGGTGTTCGACTGGTTGACTGTTATTAATGTTGACAGAAGACATAACCTTAAAGTTTCTCAACAGTCAACAGTTGTTGCGTTCGTTGCTTGTTGTTTGTTGCTGTATCCTAGCAACAGCGATAAGAAAGTAAATAGTGGGAAATTTCAATGGAAATTTTTAAAAACAAAACATAACGTCGTTTTATTGCGCTTTTATCCGTCTCATTTGCTAATTTTCGTTCGTGACTTTCCATTCAAATATTTTTTCCAATTCCCTTTCGACAATAATGTTCATTGCTCATATCGTGGATAGAATTTTCATCGCAATCATTGCCGGTTTTGTCATGTGCTGACACTGACACTTACTGTTCGTCGAAATCTGCCTGAACTTTGATCGGACCTCTTCAGAATGGTAAAGATTTCAGAGTGATCATTTCTTCATAATTGCAAATCCTCCCACAGATCTGTACCCTTATATGGCCTGTGGCTGTATTCCAGTGCCCATTCCTCAAAATTACTCAAAGGGTTTTAGTCCATTTGAGGAGGTCTGCATATTATTTTCATTCTTTTTTTGTATATCCCCTGACTGTCTCATAATCATTACGATCCCTATTCTTATAATTTAATGCTGCGAACAGCAAGTCTGATGCTGCTGAAGGATTAACCTAAGTACACCTAGTCCCCATATAAGGAACATTAGATGTATCGGCGTATCTTACCGTCAACCAATTTGACTCATTAGGTTATCCATCTAAAGGCCTAGATACACACGGCAATTAATCGCCGCAATTGGAAAACGAAAGCCAATGAAGATCCTTGATTTCGACATATCGACGTCAATAGATGGAAATCAAGGCTCTTCATTGGCTTCCGTCTTTCAATCTCCGTGTGTATCTAGGCCTTTAGTCTAGATTTTAACAGTGCTTTCTCTGAAACGTTTTAATTTTCATCGTTCAACTTCACAATGAAAGAAGCGACTTAAAATTTTAGTTGCAACAATTAAAATTCTAGTGCTCTCAGTGACAATGATAAATTTGTCTTAGTGCCTTAGTCTCAATAATCTAAATAGATATCAGCCATAAGAGCTTTGATTTCCTCTATCACTAAGTACCAATGTAGAACTAAATCCAATTTATATTGTTTATTTCTCTAATTTACATTTGGACAATAAAGACCTATTATCGGGATTACGGCATATGTCAAAGTACAATACTGCCGTGCTAAGGAAGAACGCCGTATAAGCCTTTAGACGTTGCCAAGTTTTCTTCGATAAAAACTGAATTTACTGGGAGAATCTGGAATATTTTCCCCCAAAAATTTCAGGCAATTTCGTACGCAATTTAATCTGAAATATCTGAAAATTTCAAGGAAAAGTAGGCATGAGTGTCGTCAAAAATTCACATTTTATCAAGGGAAATTTGGCAACTCCCGAATGTTCATATGGCGTTCTTCCTTTGCACGGCAGAATAGGAGTAGTCCAATAGTATAGTACTAGCTTCTAAAAGGAATTATTATTATTAACTAAGAACTATTAACTTTAAAATGGAAAATGTAACATAGTTAGACATTTTAGGACTTTTGGTCACATTTCTTTCGCCTCTTTCTCTTTTTCTTCTTCAGTTAGGCACTCTGCAATTTTTTCTTTGCTGTAATTATCTCCATTTTCAGAAGAGTTTGGTGTTTATCTTGATTTGTATAAACTACAGTAGTGAAAGCTACCCGCCCGGCAAGGGAGCAATGTGTACGTTGCCGCAACATTGCAAGGCAACATTTTTGATGATTTGCTTTGTAAAGGTAAAGCAGCAACGTTTAAGCAATGTTTCAGCAATGTTGCCTGACATTATATTTTAGACAATATTTTCAAAACGTTTTTAGGAATGTTTCTGGAACATTATTAAAAAACGTTTCAATAATTATTTCTTAGATATATTGTGACAACGTTCTTAAACATTATTAGTCAGGGAGAAACACGATTTGACCCGGAACAAATTGCTTAACAAACTTTTCCTATGTAAACGTCATCAGTAGGTCCTCCTGAACAACATACCAAAAGTTTACCACGGTCCGACCCCGGAACACCCCCCAAAATGCCTAAATTTCAAAATGGCGGTCATAATAAGGCCTCTGGGATTTCGGTTTTTTAAAATGCGCATATAGTGTCATGTGAGGTATCAATCCCTGTGTAATTTTGGTCGTAGAACTCAGATATGAGGTCAAGCAGATGCTGTGCTGCAAATCGGAGAGGACACTCTCCACTGTTTCAGGTGTTCTCCTTTCTGTTGTTTCTCACCAGATGATTTTCTCCAATCAATATAAGGGAATGCGCCCTCATACAATGTCGCAAAAATATGTATATGTATATACAAAAATGAACAAAAATTAATTGATAGATAATTCAAAAAATAAAAAAATTAACAATAAAAATATACAAATGAAGATAAAATTAAAAAAAATAAAAAAATAATATAAAAATAAAAAATAAAATAAAAACAATAAATATAAATAATTAGAAAATAATTTAATACAAAATAAAAATACCAAATAATTATAATAATAAAAAATAATTATAATATAATTAAAGAAATAATTAAAATAATAATAATTGTATTTATATAAAATGAATATATTTATTCAATTCTTTTTTAATTTTTTTTTTCATACTCCTTTTTTTTAAAAACTTGATCTTCCTAATATTATGTTCAGTATCCTTCGCTGTAGAATTATGCACAGAAATGCAAGAATATCATTGCTTTCTATCATTGAACCAGATCTAGGGATGTTTATTAATGCTAAATAACCAAACTTTATCACGCGAGCGTCCGTAGCTGAGTGGCAGCGACACACGGGCGATCACTGAAGTTCAGCAACGTCGGGCGTAGTTAGTACTTCGATGGGAGCCCGCTTGGGAACCCGGGCGGAGCGCGGCTACTTTCGGACTTAAAGTGAATTTCGGGTGCCTAAGAAACGCTTCTCTGCGGTCCACATTGAATTCTAGGAGTAAAAATGCAGAGTACTCCTAAAATAAATCACCGAAATTTTTTCACCGTATTTTTGCAACATTCCCATTATGTTGCTAAAACGTATTTTTGCAACATTCCCATTATGTTGCTAAAACACATTGCAGACACATTGCCAATTACGTTCATGCAAGCTGACAAAATTACACGTTGTGGCAACGTTACCACAACGTTGCCCGAATACGTAAATGGCGAAATTGCAACGTTTTGGCAACGTTGCCACAACGTAATTTTGCCGGGCGGGAGAGGTAAATGTAAAAACACTTGCAAAGTTCGCAAGTCAACAGCATTTTATTCAATAAAATACATTTCTAATAAAAAAGGAAAATTACTAATAGAAAATCTGAATGTCCTAAATTTTTAGTTGCCTCAACTGGGTAAACTACCCAGTGCAACAAAATTTTTTGGTTCTCATTTTGGAACTATCAAAGTTTTCAGTTGAGTGTGTAGCGATGCCTTGAATAATCAACTGTTGCAGTCTGTTACAATATTAAGTTGCTTACAGTCGCTTGCAAGTGCGCTATCACAAGTGAAGAATTGAAGGGATTTGATTATGATTATGTAAACACAATGCCAAGGTGTTATGAAGATGCTTTTATTAATTCAGAGTCGAAGCTTTTCGACATTTAGGATCATTATCAAGGTGAATACAAACTACCTAAAGCGATAGTCCAAGGCAAAGATAACATACAAGCCATCAGCTATTGAAACTACTGGCAAACAGGAAGTTGAAGGGTCAAAGAATATTGTTGAAAATAGTAAAATAGCAAAAAATAGAAAATACGCAACTGATTAATAGTGAAAACAGGTGGAAATGAAAGTAAATGTAAAAAAATATGTGACCAAGTGAAGAAAGTGATTTAGTCAACACCTGACGCACCTCGAGTACTTCATCCTTACAAAAATATTGCGTACGGTCAAAAATATGACCTTAAGTCCTACTAATAATATTTATAAAAAAAAGAAGAAAATTAGACTTTCATTCATCATTGTGAGGGAAAACAGGTGGAAATGAAAGTAAATGTAAACATGTGACCAAGTGAAGAAAGTGATTTAGTCAACACCTGGCGCACCTCGAGTACTTCATCCTTACAAAAATATTACGTACGGTCAAAAATATGACCTTAAGTCCTACTAATAATATTTATATAAAAAAAAAAGAAAATTAGACTTTCATTCATCATTGTGAAAATATTGTAAGGAAGAATTTTCGAATGTGGCAACCAGACCATATCATCACTAAAAACAAGAGATTAAGTCCTGAATTTATGTTTTAAAAATTTCAGTTACACCAACCAGAAATCCTAATTGAACTGACCAAAAATCCTAGTCTGACGGACTGAAAATCCAGTCGCTACCCATGTTCGGGGATTTCCTTGGATCTCGGGCACCAACATGTAGGTTACAGGTTTTTGCATTGATATTTTTTAATTTTCAATATATTTGCCGACTGGAAATGACTCAGTTTTACGTTGAAACGTCTAGTGTCTTTTTAGCGCTGTATTTTTAGCCGTGCTTCCTGTTTTCTCTCCCTTGTATTTTTCATGTTACCATTGCCTTGGGCTGCTGCATAAACCTTTGTATCTGGTACTCATGTTCCAAGAACGATGTTAGACTTTTCATTAATTTGTCGGTTGTAGTTGCCAACACAATCAAAGCTTAACAGTAATTTTTTGTTTCAGAGTCACGATTTCTTTGAAAAATACAACTTTATCGCTGAATGGTTTGATCCAGAGGCATCATTTTCGAAAAAGTTCCACCTCTCATATTTTATAAAGGATGATTCTATAGAGTTGGTAAGAGACTCACATATCCGCTGGAAGAAAATACTCAAAATTGGATCCCAGAATTGTTCGTCACATTAATAATGAGATCATTTCATGTCGAATCAAACATCACATCAAATTTTCATCTCCTTCTCTGATTTTGATGAAAATTGGTATAGGTAGTAGTTGATTCCACAGAAAAACTGGCACCTAAAAATTATCATATGAATAGCATTTAGCAAAAAGGAACCAGGGCAATTACTGTGTTGTAAAAATGTTGCTTCTTCATAATTATCTAAAAAGTGTCCCAGAATAGCAAATAGTTTTTGCTTCCCACCAAAAAATTGTTAATTTTCAAGAAAAATAATCGTGCAAATATTTATACTGTACATGTTTTAAGTATCAATTCAAAGAAAAGAAGAAGTTGCATAATTTTGAAAACACTGTAATTGTGCTGTTTCCTTTTTGCTAAATGCGATCCGTACGTCCCTTTGCTCTTTAGTTTTCATAATTATAAAGTACGAATCTAATCAAATAATTTTCTACTCCGTTCATTTTAAGAATTTTCGAAGAGGTTATTTGCCTTTTTTGTTTACAGTTTGACCTTAGAAATCTTCGAATGTTCCTTAAACGCACAAAATGTGATGGAGTACGCTTATGTGATATATACGTTGGAGCATCTGTCAAGATCTATTCAAGGCTAATGAAAATAGTAGATTACGCTGATGTTGAAACTAAGAGAAAGTTAAGTCAAACCTCACAGAAGTAAGTAAACAGCAGTTCTTTTCTACCAGATACACAGGTATAAGATACTCAATCTCTTAAGAAAAAAATGTATAAAAACGTATAAAATATATATCAATGTATAATGTATTATAATATAGTGCAACTGTGATGAACCCAATGTCACTACCTGAAACTCTCAGTCTCCCTCAATTTAAAAATCTAAATTTTTGTATGTACACTCATCTTTCAAATTTTTTGTAAAGATGTTATTAGCCTAAGATGCTGAATGTCTTTAAATAAATTAACTAACTAACTAACTAACTATTATCACTAAATGCATGATGACATATCAGGAACCCAATACTAGGCACCTGCCCGGAACTTTTAATCTGTCACCATCAACTGGCTAACCTTGTAGTAGATACCAAATTCCTTTTCAAGGGATCACATAAAGGCAGTGTTGCATAGTTACGCTGGATTTTCAGTGTGCCGGATAAATGATGAATAGATAATCAAGGTATTACTGTTGGTAAAGTTAATCCTGAACTAACTTTTCCTTTTTCTCAGGACTTTTGGATTCATCAAACCGGATGGTATCAACAAAAAAGGTGCAATCTTTGACATGATCCTTGAGAGGGGCCTCAAAGTAGTCAATTTAAAAATGGTTCTCATGAACAATGACCTTGCCAGGAGATTTCTCCGGGACCAGTTCAATGATTACAGTGACATTTTGTAAGTTCTGTATTTTTCCCCAAATATTCAATTCAAATAATTTTCTCACTTGGAATTTTTTTTTTTTTTTTTTTTTTTTTTTTTTTTTTTTTTATCAAATTCAAAGATCACATTGAAACAAGGACATGTTCCATTCCTTCTGATCAAACCGCCAGTTACGTTTGTGAAGATTATATACGTAAAATTAGTTCTCTACCACCTCTGAACATCTCATATAATTTAACTTGACAAAAGGAAAATTGAAAAATATTTGATAGGTGCTTCGAGCACCTAGCAAATTGTCAAACCTTAGGGTAAATTCAAATCCTGGTCTCTGATGGACCAATGTCATAATCAACTTCAAACGCCCCTTCATCAATTTCCTCTTGTTCCTCTCAAGAATTTTTAGTGACTTATCGCAACTTCCAGCAGAGCTAGTTTGCTAATGACTCTTGCATGGAATAAATGGAAATTTCTAGGTAGTGCTTACATAGTTGGTGGCAATTTTTTAGTTTTTTTCAAAAAAATAGAACAATTTTAAGGGGTTAGTCGTGACTGGCAAACAGTAACACAGAGAAGATTATTTTTTGTAATAGGGTTAAGCGCATGACCCTTAGTTACATATCAAGCAGATTTGACTAAAAGTGATAGGACCGGCCCTTACTCACAATCAGAGCAAGGAAATGTGACCGCATGGCACAGATACATCTTTCATGACTCACATGCTATTTTGATCCCAGGATTTTCATCAGAATTGTGATTGATTTTTCTCTCCATTTCATTTTTGTCTGTGAAACATCAAAATAAGGAGGTAAAAATCAAGATAAAACATTCCAAAGGCAAAATTTAAAGGTGTGTAACAAAGCATTACAAAAACAAGAACTAAATCTCCAATTTAAAAGACTTCTCCATTCTATACTGAATTTTTAAAACTACAGCTGCAGATATGATCTGAAGTTTTGGTCCTATCATACTTCGTTCGTCTGTTCATGCATTTTCCAGCGGCTCAAAAATTAAGTTTTAATTCACTCCACTTGAAGGTGAGGAATCAATCCCATAAAACAACTGTTAGGTCATTATAAGAAGAAGTGTCAACCTTTTTTAGAATTCTAACCCTGACCAATAAACTTGGCACGCACAGTTTTTATGTGGCACCCCTTAAATACAACTGTAACCTAAAGGAACTTTGCCCATAGCGTGGCATCATATACTGACGGGGACAGTCACAAAATACACACCTGAATTGCACTTTTTCATTATCTCTACTGTTGTTCTATTCTGCAAAAGAAGAAATAATCAATGATCATTGCCGTTCACAATTTTCTCAGAATAATCTGTACAGGATTAAAAAAAGCTAATCAGCAAAAATTCCAAGGGATGATGTTAATTGATTTTTGACGAAAATCATGAAGTGTGACAAGAAATCTTTAACATTGCAAAGCTAGATACTTGTTTTGGGGCTAAACAACTGATGTAGTGTTCACTTTTCTCTCGCTGTTAAAATCTTGTTTTGTATGGTTTTATGAAATTTTTTAAACATGCATGTTGTATACATAGATTTCCTCTAATGTTATTCAAGAAGTTATTTCAAAATATTTTTCTTTAATGGATTATTTAATAACATTATGTTCTGCTCCCATCTTAGGTATTTCAGGGAAAAATATTTGTAGTAAACATTCTATCGGCATTTTAAAACTGTATTTACTTACTTTCCATTTCAGGAGCCATGAGCAGATTTTAGTGTCTGGACCGTGCATATTGTTTGAATTAATTGGTGAGAACAGTGTGCAGGTTTTGAAAGAGTTGGCTGGTCCCACAAATCCGGACATTGCCCGCAAGGAAGCTCCAACTACTATTCGAGGTCTTTTCGGCAAAGATACTTTACACAATGTACTTCATGCAGCTGAATCGTTTGAGGCAGCAGGGAAAGTATGTAATTTAACTCCCTATAGGAGTATTTAATTGATGCATTGAAATACTTTCATTTACCTGCTAATTGTTTTTATCAATGCAGTCTCTAAAATTTCAATTTTTCTGCATAATTTTAATGATTTCTAACTAAGAGGAATACGCTAATCATCATTTGATTGAGTAGACTCATTTTGTGGAAAATGAGGTTTCTCAAACTGCTTTATAATTTTTGAGTCCATCTGAGAGTGCTCCTTTACTTTGCTTTGAATGCAATCTCATTATTCAGATCAACATGATGTAACTTTTAATCTTTTGATTAAATATCACTATACCTTTTAATCTGGTTTCCTTTTCCTCTTTTTAGGAAGCAAAAATATTTCTATTTGGTGAGCCATCAACCCTAGAAAAGAATTTCCAGCCTTGTATGACGGTCACTAACTCGACGTTTTGTACCATCAAGCCTCATGCCATTCAAGAAGGTTTGCACTTCAATCTCTCATTTATCATCTTAGTGAAAGGACATACGCCTTCCTTATCTTTTTTATGGCAGAGGAGCTCACCTCTTCTCAGAAATTTTCCAATTCTACTCATGCATCAAATTTTTATGTGAAAACCTCAACAAAATGACATGATACGTAAGCAATGAATTGTTTTCCCGTAAAGTACCAACTAAATGTCTCAAGAGACCACCAGATAAGGTCTGAATGAGGAAAGAACTTCACAAGTACTCTCTACAAGATCTCTCTCAGAATACGATTCACACAACCGGCAAAGTAATAAACCAACTCCTGCAGATATTACCAAGTACTTCTTAAGCAGGTTAGATGGAAGTTTATTTACACGAATGAAGTCATTACTATTTTTGCCATTTAATTAATGTTAATCGCGAACACCTATATCTTACTTAAGAGTTGATTTACGGACTTCCTGTCATGTGATTTGTTTTCCTTGTGAAATTTCAAAGAAAAATAATGATGAGTAGTGCTTTAATTCATACTTTGTTCAGAGGCCTATTTTTGACACAGTCCTATCGGGAGGGGGGGGGGAATTTGTAGATTACGTCACGACTTAAGGAGATTGAGTAGCCTGATTAAGCGTCATAGATCCATGTTGTGGGAGTTTCACCTCATTACTTAACAGGAAATTTCGGGGTTCTCACCAATATTTTGGAAGTTTGTTGATAACTTCGGTTAAAAAGTAGCACAAAAATGTTGATTCTTCATGGAAAGAGGTGGGTCCAGTTAGCACAGCTTAACAAGACAGAATCATGCAATCCTACAAGGCAATGGTGGGGGAGGAGATAAAGATCTTAAAGTTCCAATTATAGCACTTGGCATAACCATAAATGGACGTATTTCTGCCAAACTCAACCAGAGACAGGTGGGAAAGAAGGAGTGTGCTTGTAGGCCGAGGGCTGTAAGAGTGAATGGGAATTATAAAGCACCAGTGATGTCAGCGGCGATGACGGAGACAACGATCCGAGTCATCCGAGTCTTTAACTCATGAACCGTGTCCACGACGCTCTGGTCATATGCTCATGGCTCATGAGTGCCACATTCAGTTTGCACGTAGTTCCGTTTGACAGAATGTAAAATCCTGCTTTCCCATATTTCCAAAGGGAATCACGCCCACTCTAAAATTGTTTCTCATGCAGCTTCCTAGAGCACACCATATCTTTCCCACTCATCTGTAGTTCCATTTAGCAGAAATATGTCTAAATAATTTCTGACCATCTTCATCTTATGATCCGTTTTTTTTTTTTTTTTTTTTTTTTTTTTTTTTTGTATTTTATTCAGGTTTAATGGGAAAAATTATTGCCATGATAGAGGAGAAAAATTTCAAAGTTACCGGAATGAAAATGTTCCACCTGAATACAGCGCAAGCGGAAGAATTTTTAGAAGTTTACAAAAGTGTAGTTCCAGAATACTCTGTAAGTAGAAGGAAAAAGAGAATCCCTTAATTACTACATCTAAGGCCTACATTAGCCTAACAATTTATTATTTGTTTGGAAAAGTTCTGGCTCAATTCTACCATTTATCTTGTTTTAATAAAAATGTTTCTTGCACATTTTCTGTTCATTGTTCATAAATGGGTTAAAAATAGTGAAATCTGTTACTTTAATGATACATGGATGGCACAATCTTTGGAAACGTGCATTTTGGGATGCAACACAGGAGACAAGTACAAAGGCCGAATTGATTAATGAATTTGACGAATGAAACTTGAGTTTTCTATAAAGTATCTTTTTTATAATGTTATGTTAAAGACCTCCTTGGACTTCCCTTAATGCCTCCCGTGATCCTCTTCCATGTTGGGCCTCCAAAAGCTGAGAAGCTACATCCACACTATAAGCCCGGAAACCTCCTAAATTTGCATATCTAGTAACGCTTAGTTTCAGCGTTTTACCGGGCTGTTTTTCATGATTTTTGCGGCTTTTTGACAGGCAATTGTCTCTAGATGAGCCCACTCTATTAAGTTTATGGAAATATGACCCAGATATTTTTTTATTACGTGGTAAAGTTGCAAGTTCTCCCATTTGAACTATGAAAACTTTTATTTTTTCTCAGTTTGTTTGAGCCTTCTGCTGGGCCGATTTCCATGATTTTACGGCTGTTAAGAGGCGATAATTCCTAAATGGGCCTGCTGTAATCAGATTTTGAAAATAGGACCCAGGTTTTTTATAAGAGTGGACCAGGGAGCTTAGAAATGGGGGCAAAATTTGCACTGAGCGGGAAATGTTGAATCTTGGTCTGATGTTAGGAGGGTAAGGTAAGCAAATTGAAGGTATGCTGCTTTGCTACAGACTATCCAAAAGCAACGAAATACTCTGTTCTGTTGGTTCCGTTTCGTTTTTGTCGTAGCGTGCAGTTTGAAATAAATTCCGATTTTTTTATTGGATTCTTATCAGTCCAATCACTCCAAGCCAGAAGGAGATTGGACGAGTGAGAGTCGAGTATAAAATTCTTTTAATTTTTTTTGGTCTTTCTTATCTTGAAGCAGGCGTACCAGAGCGCAAAGCGCCCTCTGGAAGTTGGGCTGCGTAGCGGCCAGGGGGCTTAATGACTATGAATACAATCCTACATGTGTCTATTAATGATTAAATAAAGTATGTAGAAGTTCTAATTATGTTACAGGGTATGGTAAGCCAACTCTCATCAGGTCCTTGTCTTGCAATGACTGTAGAAAGTGAGTCTCATGGACCTAATACACCGCAAGAATTCAGGAACTTTGCTGGACCATCAGACCCAGTAAGATTCATTCCAAGATATCATAATAACTTATCCCATATTAAGCTTCAATTAGGATTTTTTTCAATTTTTGGTTCCCTAAAGAATGAATATTAAGAGTTGCCCTAGACGGAACTTGAACGAAAAGTTAGTTATTATGATGCTCTTCATTTCAAGGATTTTTAAAAATGTGAAGTTAAACATTTTTTCTTTATTAAATATCTTTTTTCTATTTGTAGTTCATAAGCAACATCTTAACCCAGTGTGAAGTTGGAAAAGACTGAAGACAAAAATTAAATGGAACACCGGTTTTTTGTAGCCTTACCACAGAATGAGTTGTTCTTTAATGTATTTTATGGCAGATCAAGTTTTTCATCACTCTTTCTTTCTGTTCTTATCAGTAGGCCCAGATTTTTGGGTTTGTTGCTAGGAGAAGGACAATAGTGGAAGCTGAAGCCAACTATTTTGATAATATTTTTTCTTTCACTTTACTTTCTTTTATTTTTATCTCTTTAATTTGCGATATATCAAATTTGTTTTGGCAGGTGAATAATGAAAACCAAGCCTGTTGACAAAATTATGAGGTAAAATTGTATGTCTAATTACATACTGATCTTTTTTTTCAAATATTAGATTGGATTGTGGTGTAATAATTGAAACTAGCTAGGTTTATTGTTTTTGCTCAATTTTTTTAATGCAAATGGTGTTGATCCTCTGTATTTTATTTTACAGGATATTGCCAAGGAACTAAGACCTAATACTATCCGTGCAAAATTTGGGAAAGACAAGGTAAAAAATGCCATCCATGTCACAGATCTTCCGGAAGATGCGCCCTTGGAGATTGAATATTTTTTCCAACTTCTTGAATGAAATTTGGATTTTAAGGCACCCATGAAAATTGTTTCAAATGACGATTTTTTACACCATAATAGCAGTGCAGTCCTTTTAAGATGAATTCTGTAAGTTGTCCCATTTATTTGTTATTTTTTTCTATGTAATATATTGGTTATAAATGAGTAATACAAATTTCACCGAGTTGCGATTATTTCTCTGAAAGCAAAAATTGCTTTTTAGTATTCTCTTGTTAAACTGATCGATGAACTCTCCCAATGAACAAAAGAGGCACAAATACATAATTGAAATTTGTCAAACATTTTAGAGTGATTCATCATAATGGATGCCTTGCATACTTTATTTGTCTTTCTGTAACACTTAAGTTATAAGTTACCCATTAAGGTTTATAATTATTTTTCGTTCATTCATTTAAATTTTAAGTTCCATGGAAGAGCCAAGGCTGGAATCCGGCACCAATACGCACAAATTCTACAAAATTTACGTTGCTGTGGCCTTGTAATAATGCATCTGAAATTGAGTCAATTTCCAAAAATTATCGGAGGAAGTCAGGCCTCCGGACTCCTCTTCGTGCAGTCGGCAGGTGGAGTCAGGGCCAAATATCATTTTTCAATGGAGGCCAGGCTTCTCTAGTAAACGATTTAGCACCGCCTATGCTTGTGTATGGGGGGGGGGGGGGGGGGGAGAGCGACACCCACAGGTCCACTCTGAAGCCTCCAATACTGGAAATTCGAAGTTATGTCCAAAACCATACTGTCCATACCTGTGCTTGTTAAAATAATGGAGGGAGGTCGATGAAAGGGGGCTTCAGTAAGTAGAGAAAGCCAAGAAAAGTCAAAGGATTACCTACTATCACTGATAGTGGACAACTATAGGTGACACCAATAAGGCTTGAGAATCATATGATACCGTTACCTAAGTTGACCTTTTTCAGGAAACATTCTAGGTTCATTCTCGGAGAGGGTATCGAACAAGAGGATTTTTATGACAGAAAATGCCACTAGACTGTCAAATGCGCTTAGCTCACATCCAATCCATAGATCGAATGCGTCACTGTCCAAGTTTCGATGTTTTGAATCCCACGGGCACCGCGATTTTGTTCAACTGGCCTTTGCTGGCTCATTTAGTTTGGTTGAGCCTCGATGGTATTTTGCAATCTGGCTCAATACTTGTTGTTTTCAATGAATACTTTGTGTTTCACACGTCATTTACCTCCAGTTCAAGTATTCGCAAGTCAAAATTCGCTCATGGTTCAGTGACCCATTGTTTTTCCTTGTGTCTGTAACAACAGTTCCTAATGCACTGAGAAATGGGTGAAACGGTTCCTTCCTTTCGAAGTTAAAATTCTGCTGAAGAACAATCGTGCATTTCCTGCTGGTTAACATCTGGACGCACCTAATTTTTACATCCACCCCGCTTTTTCGGATTTTGAACACACATCAATGGAGGGGCTTGGAGGACATGGCGCATCCGTGCAATTTCTTAAACAATTAAGATAATAATAATATTAAGTAAAACTAGTCCTAAAGTATATTTTGTGAAAAATTCGCTCCTAAATTCCAATTTTTAGGCATCAAAAAGTTAGTTTGAACTTTCTTTCCTCCCTAAGGATCCACGTAATTTCGAAACTCCAAACACGAATTTTTCGAAATAGCAAAAACTGCAATTATGCACCTTGTCCGCCAAGCCCCTCAATGGACGTAAATTAAACTGAGGCGTGCTAACAGACCAAAGTGAGACTAAAAAGTGGAACGGGTCGCAATTTTTAATGTCTCGTTTCTTTTTTATTTGGCTGCTCAGTATGAATTTTTAGTTGAGTTAAAGAGAAAAAATTAGTTGTATTTTGTCTAGTTTTTTGACAAATGGTTCATGCAGAGTGTACCTGTGCAAAAAACTTTGAAATCACAAGTTGAAAAATGTTGCGCGAGTTTGAATGATCGCGCTGAACACTGCGGTTGACGCGGAGCGCATGTTAGCGCCTGCAAGACTGCACGGATACTTCACGCATCGCGCGTACTCTACGGTGCGCGCTAAGACTGCACGGATACTTCACACATCGCGCGTACTCTACGGTGCGCGCTGTTAGTGCCTGCAAGACTGCCTGGATACTTCACTTTTTAAATACAACTTTTTAAATCGTGTATTGATGTAATTGACCGGACGCGAGACAAACTTGCGAGACAACTTTTTCTGATGCGTGTTATTATATTAACACGCATCAGAAAAAAAAATTGCTTTTATCTTTTCCAAGGTTTCTTTCATACACTGCAAAAACACAATACCACTCGAAAGACTTAAAGAGTCTGCGTTTTTTTCAACAAAGGCTGCCTAACATTCAAATGATGAGAGAAAAGGTAAGTAAGGAGCAATTTAGGATAGGAAAATCGTGGAAAATGAACTCAATGATTAATAATGAAATAGTAAGCCAAAGATGCATTTTTTCATGTTTATTTTTTAAACCAGTGCTAATGCATTTCGGGAACCCCGTCCCATCTTCAGAGCGTTACCCACAGTATAGTTGGTGGAACAATTTGGAAATCTCGTCATGTAACACGGAAGATTCGAAAACGCCTTCAATTGTGGGGTGATACCTCACGCGTTCCTGAGAGTTCAAATAGTTGTATCCCTGCGCCTTGGCAAGGCAATGGAAGCTTGAAATTGAAGTAGCGTCACCGCTTGGTTTTTCGGTTATCCTGTGCCGCTACTGCAGTTTCGACCGTTTAGGCCGTAGTTTAAGGGCGCTAAAGCAGGGATTGTATTTCGCAAATGGATAATTTTTGCAGAATAATTAAAAATTAAGAAGGAGGAGAAATTTAAGTAAATAATGACAGGAACTCAAATCAACAATATAATGCAGAATAATTTGGAGAATCTCGTCAAGTAACACAGAAGATTCGGAAACGCCTTCAATTTAGGCGTGATACCTCACGCGTTCCGGAGAGTTCAAATAGTTGAATCCCTGTGCCTTAGCAAGGCGATGGAAGCTTAATATTGAAGTAGCGTCCCCGCTTGGTTTTTCGGTTTTCCTGTGCCGCTACTGCAGTTTCGACCGTTAAGGCCGTAGTTTAAGGGCGCTAAAGCACAGGTATTATGCGTAGGAAGTCAAAACGCCTTCAATTTTTTGAACGCAATACGGACATCCGTCGAGGTTGTATAGTTGTATCAAGGCGCCGTAGCAAGCGCGTCCCATTGTTTATCGTTACAGACGAATATAAGTTGAGAGAGGCCAGTCATAATGCCCTCAATTTTACGCATACATATTTTCGGGCAAAATGAGAGACGACGTTTCTCCATTTGCGACGTTGCAGACTTCCTTAGAAATTTTATTTTTCTTTCGAGAAGCTGGTCAACATGAAACTTAAATTCTCCATGATTTTTCGTATTCGATAGCGGAAGATTTGGTTTCTAAATCTAAAGTCGTAAATTTGGATTGTTTATCATGGAAGAGATGAATTAAGAACGGACATTTTGAAACACCGCAATGGAGATACGTGGTTTCGCACTTCAGTCGGACCGATACGGACATCCAACAAGTTTAAATAGTTGCATCAAGTCCCCGTCACCGCCGACCAACGCGTTTGTCGATCGAATCAACTACAGGGATTGTATTTCGCAAATGGATAATTTTTGCAGAATTTTTAAAAATTAAGAAGCAGGAGAAATTTAACTAAATAATAACGGAAACTCAAATCAACAAAATAATGCAAAACAATTTGGAGAATCTCGTCAAGTAACACAGAAGATTCGAAAACGCCTTCAATTGAGGCGTGATACCTCACGCGTTCTGCAGAGTTCAAATAGTTGAATCCCTGCGCCTTAGGAAGGCGATGGAAGTTTAATATTGAAGTAGCGTCCCCGCTTGGTTTTTCGGTTTTCCTCTGCCGCTACTGCAGTTTTGACCGTTAAGGCCGTAGTTTAAGGGCGCTAAAGCCGGGATTGTATTTCGTAAATGGATAATTTATACAATTTTAAAAGAGACTACAATTTTAAATTACATATTAGGACAATACACGATATAGACCAATACAAAAGACAATACAGCAGGTACCAGCCTTTCAAAGGCTGCCCTGGTAAGAATTGGCAGTAGAATCTGTGTTCCAAAATACCATAGACATAAAGCCGGTTGTAAGATTTCCAATAGCTTCTACAGCCGGCTCTACAATTTCTTTTAGCCTTTTATAGCCGATGGCGACTAAGCAAAGCCAGACGATAAAGTTTATGCTAATTGTTACTAAAAACGGATACTAGGACTTAGTTAGTTTTTGGATCACTGCTCCTTTTTGTGCCGTAGTATCTTTATTTATTTTGCGAGGAATGTTCCGTACTTTTGAAGGATGCCTGTCATTCTTAATATGTTGGAGCGCCTTCAATTTCTTAAGGTACTGTGCAATACCTCTGGTGTGAAATAATTGCTTCAGACGCCGTGGCACGCGGCGGCCGGGCACAGAGAGCGAAACGTGCATTAGCGCCTACAAACCTAACAGGGATACTTCACGTATTGCGCAACGCGTGAAGTATCCCTGTTAGGTTTGTAGGCGCCAGTGCGTCGCCGCTCCGCTTTGTGTTAGGCTCTAATATTTTATCTTGCGGAGTCAGCGTTTTTCAACTCATGGTTTTGAAATGTTTCCACACTCTGTATTGACTATTCTCATTTTAATTGATGAAAAAAACATATGTTTTAAAGGAAAATATAATATGTGTTTTGTAAATATTAAGGTAGCCCCGTATCAAACTTAATGATTTCCAAAGCACACGAATTTCTACACAATTTCTCATAGCCTTTTATAGCCAGTGGCGATAAAGTGTAAAGCCCAGCGATAGGAACTATAGCCCGACTGTATACTTTTTTATAGCTTCGTATAGCCCGACTATATGATTTGCTCAGCTTTCTTTAGCCAGCTATATGATTTTCAATAGCCTCCTTTAGTCGGCTATAAAAACTCTTGTGGTATTTTGAAACGCAGCTCCTATCGCCAATTTTTACCAGGGTGGCTTCATAAAAATGAAAAATATGCATCTTTGGCCTACTATTTCATTGTTTATAGTCATTATAAATAGATGCAATATGCGGCTGAACAACTTTCCAGAAAATTAACTTCTCTAGAACTCATCTCTATGTGTGCTCGGTGATCCTGTTTTTAGTCCTTTAATGTTCAACTCAACTATGAATCCGGGTCAACATCTCAATACTTTTCCTTTTTCTCATTGCATTCTGCAACCAGGCAAATGTATGTACCAATTTTGAGGATGTTTCCTAAAATGCAACTTTTCTAGGAGAGAATGCACTGTACATATACTATTCTAAATGGGTCAATTGTGCTGATAACAGAATCGCAGTTTGATTTTTAAAGCTTATAGATGATCAAAAAGTTATAAAATGTGCCCAGACTTCTAGTCGCTACGTTAAATATTAACGGAGATATCGTCCGTTGAAAACTACGATGTATGATGTTATCTATCGGGGTAGTGCATACCACGGTTTCTTCCACTGTGGATTCATCAACTTGTGATAAAAAATATTTTCAGTGATTCCTCGGATTGAAAAACGGATGGAAATATACGGTAGAAAAAACTATGGTATGCACCACCACGGTAGATGACGTCAGACGTGGTGTTTCTTGAAGGGCAGATGTCTCCGTTAACGTTTGACATGAAAGCTTGGTGTTCCGAACAGTTCTTGTTTTTTTTTTTTACTTTCTCGCTCCCCTAGTTTTCAGTGGCCTGGCATCCATGTAAGCAAGATGAACCACTGCTTTCCCAATCTTTTTTCAATAGATAATGTGATGATAATTATTTTCGAATTTACGAATACTTGCTCTACAAATCATGCTCAGCACATAGCTGGATCAAAACTGGAACAAAAAAACTGCTCACACCCTTAACCCATGTGTGCAAAGATTCGTGTGTGGTGGATGTCCTCGTAGTATACACGGAGAATTGAAGGCGCTCTGTCATTTTGGATTCTCGGAGTGCAACCCGTTGCCAAGCCGCGCGGCTGGTGAGTGCCAGCAGTATGAGAACGCCTTAACTTCTAGGGTTATGCAACACGGTCATCCGTGGGGCTCGAATAGTTGCATCCAGGCGTTGTACTGAAATTTGCTTGGTGTTCGTTGCTTCGCTTGTTTCTCTCATACCTCAACTCAATTACAGCGTCACCCATTGCGCCATTAAAGGAGACTATCCTTGGTTTTTGTCGTAAAATTGTCAATTTTCAGAAAAGTGCTGTAATTATTTAATACATCACAAATTTGCCCCTCTTAAATGTGGGTGACGGCCCTGCACTTCCTGACCTAAGAACACTTCAAGAACCATTTTTTGAGCGCGTATCGTATCAGAGTCAGTTTCTTTTATCAGGAATTAAACTTTTTGCTTCTGCGATATGAGGTATTATATGTATGAAAAAATAGCAAAGAATAAGAAAGACAGTAGCGCAGTTATATGTCTTAACCCTCTATGGCATTGCGTTACGAATTCAAGAACGTAATTTTGGGGGTTTTAAGAAGCGAATCTTGCCCCTCTGACATGATTTTGCAAAATTTTGTTAGTTTTTTATTTTTTTGAAAAACTGATTCCCTTAAGTTTAAAATTTTGAAAACAAATTCGGTAGTCTATTTTTTTAATGCAAACTACAAAATAGATCAGTGTCTCATAGACTCTGAGATTCAAAATTAATCCATGTTATAGAGGGTTAAAATCATGTTGGTACATTTTTAGGTATGCTCCTTTCACTCTCTTTCATTTTCTTCCGTTCGCCTTTTTCTTCCTATTCTTCTGTTTCCGCCTCCTGTTTTGGGTCCGATGGGGAGGGGGTCATGCCACCGTGCCCCCTCCATCTGAATCGGCCACCGATGCGGTACGTGCTCATGGAGCGATTGTGTGATAAGCAATTGGTTTCCTTTGCGGTGGAAATCATCAGTTGCGCGCGCAGACCCATCACCCGATCGCGCGAGCAACTCAGTCGCCGTTTGCACACGCGCGAGCGAACCGCGCCATTTTTCGAGCTCCCACTCGCGCGTTCCCTCAAATCAAAATCACCAATGAACCCATTCATAAAGCATCATCAAATATAGTTCAAAATTCATCAATAGAGTGTAGTAGAGGCACGCGTTATCGGGTATCTCGTCAAATAATTGAACCGCCGAAACCTGCTCATGAAGAAACCTCGAAAAGGATTCCCATTGAAATTCGAAATTTTGAATACTTCTGAATAACAGCTTAAGGGTTACTTGCCTCCATGTGAATTTTGCTGCAGTTAAAAAATAAAAATAAAAACTGAAGGTGACCTGTTAGGTCGTTTTTGAGCTTATTTTGGAAAAAGCGTAAAAAAGCAAAAAAAAAAAAAAAAAAAAAAAAAAAAAAAAAAAAAAAAACAGTGCGCGTTATTTAAAGCCGATATTTCTGCGTGTGCTTTGTTCACGTTCATCTCATCACTCACGAGTGCGAAAAACGAATGGTGTCGAAGCAAAATTCTGGGTAACTTTATTTCAACTAAATTACTTTTCTCTTTCCAAATATGAGTGCTTAAATCGCCGCAGAGCGATGAGTCGCCCACAATCATGTCCTGGTGACGGAGCCCTTTAGATTGGTGACGATTAGTAAAGTTGGACGAGCTTGAATGGAAATCAGCAAAACTGTATTTTAGATTGCATAATTTTTCTCGTATTTAATTTTTTAATGAAGAACTAAACTATTCAACGCATTTTACTTTCATGTGCATGTACCCTAGGTCGTTAAGAAGCTACTTGCTAAAATTTTAAAGTTCGGTGTTACTTAGTTTTCTATCTAAAAGATAAAATATGGGAAGAAATTAGGCATCGTTAGATGTATTTAGCCTGATTCTGTGGCGAAATCCGTTAAACATAACATTCCGTCACAGACACACTGTTAAGTAAATTGAACACAGGGTTTGGGATTATTTGGCACTATCGTTCTTAGATATCCCTGGTAAAAATTGGCAGTAGAATGTGTGTTCCAAAATACTATAGACCTAAAGCCGGCAAGATTTCCAATAGCTTCTGTAGCAACCTGTACAATTTCTTATAGCCTTTTATAGCCGACGGCGATTAAGCAACAGCCAGACGATGAAGTTTATGCTAATTGTTACTAAAAACGGATACTAGGACTTAGTTAGTTTTTGGATCACTGCTCCTTTTTGTGCCGTAGTATCTTTATTTATTTTGCGAGGAATGTTCCGTACTTTTGAAGGATGCCTGTCATTCTTAATATGTTGGAGCGCCTTCAATTTCTTATGATACTGTGCAATACCTCTGGTGCGAAATAGTTGCTTCAGACGCCGTGCCACGCTGCGGCGCGGCGGGCGGGCAGAGAGCTCGAAACGCGCACTGGCGCCTACAAACCTAACAGGGATACTTCACGCATTGCGCAATGCGTGAAGTATCCCTGTTAGGTTTGTAGGCGCCAGTGCGTCGCCGCTCCGCTTTGTGTTAGGCTCTAATATTTTATCTTGCGGAGTCAGCGTTTTTCAACTCATGATTTTGAAATGTTTCCACACTCTGTATGGACTATTCTCATTTTAATTGATGAAAAAAACATATGTTTTAAAGGAAAATATAATATGTGTTTTGTAAATATTAAGGTAGCCCCGTATCAAACTTAATGATTTCCAAAGCACACGAATTTCTACACAATTTCTCATAGCCTTTTATAGCCAGTGGCGATAAAGGGTAAAGCCCAGCGATAGGAACTATAGCCCGACTGTATACTTTTTTATAGCTTCGTATAGCCCGGCTATATGGTTCGCTCCGCTTTCTACAGCCAGCTATATGATTTTCAATAGCCTTCTTTAGTCGGCTATAAGAACTCCTATGGTATTTTGAAACGCAACTCCTATCGCCAACTTACCTGGGATTCCAAAATTTGGATGAACTAGTTCCATCGTCGTTTTGAATGAACACTGATACTGTTATGCCGAGGAAAAACGCCGTATGAACCTTCATTCGTAGTCTTTCGTTAGATAAAATGAGAATAGGTACATGGGGAACGTTGTGACTATTATTCTTCCAATTTTTCAGACAATTATGTTCGCAGTTTAATCTAAAATGTCTGTCACATGTCTAAATGTCTGTCATTTCAAATTATAATATTGCGTATATATATTAAAAATATTAATATAAAAAAATAATTAATATTAATATAAATATTAAATATATTAATTGCGTAATTATATTATAAAAATGCGTGTTTTATCCGTAGAAATTTGGCAACTCTTAAATGTTCCTACGGCGTTCTTCCTTAGCACGGCAGTATAGGACTAAATGCAATGAGGAACTATACTCTTTGTACTCACTTCAGAAACAACGCACGCATCATTAATTCCCATAGGTATGCATACAAGAGCTTTTTTGATTAGTCAGAAATAATATTTTTTCCTTGCAAAATGGACGAGTTGTCCAATTGGTATTCGTTAAACACCCGGTTGTGTCGGAAAGTGATAAGCATGGTCCTCACTCCTCAGCGCTGCCACTGGCCACTTGAGTAAATATGACCAACTAGAGTGCTGTACAGTTTCCACGTCGAGCCTGCTATATTTTAAGCACAAGCTCGAGATATTAAGGTTTTCCAAAGCAACCAAATACACATTAATCACGCTCCGTAAATAGATCGTTTATGAATCTGTTGACAGATATCATTCACTTGAGGTCCGCTTTCAATTTCGCCGCAGTGGCACCAAACATATCGCAACCCGAGCATGGTCATCTAGTAGAAAAAAGCATGTTCATTTCGCTATCCATCATAGAGAAAAAAAGAAGGTGTTTTGCATTTCGGACATCTTGGATTTTTTTAAATGAAATGGGTCGGTACGGACAAGTGGAAATGGTGTAGTTCATAAAAAAAAGTCATTCTGTACAAAATTGTTTTTGAATTTATATCATGAGTTGATTTAAGCAAAAAAAAATGTGACGTTATGGTCCATTCGAATTCTGGATTTTGCTGGAGTACCCGTACCGACCTACGTCACGGGGTAAACAAGCCTCATGATGTAAACACCTTTTTTTTCTCCATGGCTATTCATAGTCTTCGATCAAGCCGATAAAGGATGGTGTTAATTTATTGGTGGATATCGTCAATCTAAAAATCGCCTTCATTACTGCCGGGTAGGCAACAAACATACTGCGGAGCGCGAATAGTCGTCTAGTCAAAAATCACAGGTGCATAACGCTTAATAAGTTTCGATTGAACTGGTAAAATATGTTATAAACCCATCGGGGAATATCGTCCTTGTTGTTGTGCTTGCCGATGGACAAGCGTCTTTCTGGAAGCTCTATCTCTTAAGTTAGTGGTAATATTTAATCACTGAAACTAAGAAAATCAAAAGCTGAAAAGTATCCGCTTGTGTGAATTACAAAATAAAGTTGAATCGTTAGCTTTCGCATCTGGTTTTAATTTCTTGTCTTGGATGTATTTATTCTAATGAACTATAGCCTGTCTAATCGTTGGTGGCAAGCACATTGAGTATTATTTTATAGAGACTTTAGAAATCGTGATTTTAAATTTGATCAAATCCGGCCATCGAAATATAAAACTTGCACCTGTCAAAAAATAATTAAAAATCCAACACCGTTGCTCAAGTAGTTCACTAGCTCAGCACAGGCTCTTTCTCTCTATTTCTATGAAAATCGGTATTTATTAGCGCAATGTGGCTACTTATGTCATTTCGGTGACGATAGATTTATGACGGCTAAATTTCGGAGCCAATAAATAAGCCATAAAATTTTTCTACTACCGCAGTAATCGTTCGAACAGGCCCGTGCCTGAGGAAATTGCCACTTTCCAATCAAATGTTTATTATTTAGGTTCCTGATTAGTCACAAGCATGATAGTTGAAACATTAGAGGCATTGATCCCTAAAACCATCTCTTAGTATACGCTAATAAGTGAAGAAGTATCAAAAAAGTAACCGCCGCCCAGTGTAACTTAAAGTGATGTGCACGAATAAAGCAAAATATATTTCTTTCGATGACTCAAATAATTTTTTGTCCCAGGCATACCTCAAGACCATCCTCGTCCTTTTTTTTTTGCTTATAAGTAAATTACTATTCTTAGACATGATCAAAAATACGTGAGTTTTTCCCCTTTTAAAGGAACATCTGTGAAACATTTTATTGTTTTTAGAGACATTTAAAAAAAAAAAAAAAAAAAAAAAAAAAAAAAAAAAAAATTAAGCGACATTGTGCTATGAGGGAAGGATATCTGAGATGATAATGATAATGATCAATCAAATGGGATGAAGATCAATGATAATGCAATGCATTTAAGCAAATTCGTTTGTTAAGTACTATGCATCAGGTTGAATGGTTGACAAGTTCATGGATCAATAGGTAGCTTACTTCCTATATCTCCTCGCGTAAGCGCCAGGCAAGTCAACTGCCCACCGCCAAAGCGGCATGTTTGGCTCCAATACTCTCCGTGAATAGGACAAGGGCCAACGCGGTTACGCTTCCAGGAGTCATAGTTTTCAGTGGCGTGGCGTGAATAATCGATTATCGATATCTCGCCATTTGAAGCTATGGTAAAGAATCGATTACTAAGGTGTTCGCTGCGAACACCCTGATAATCGATCTTTTTTCATAGGTTTAAATGGCATAACGATCGATATATCGCAATTCACGCCACGCCACTGATCGTTTTCATACGTCCGTGAACCGCCAGCAACCGTTGGTACCACGTGTCCAAATTCTCCCCGCTTAAAACCTCTCTTTCCATTGAATTTTCCTAGGAAAAACTAACTTACTTGCTCATTTGTAACTTGAAGACCAAGAATTGTTATTTCGTCACCTTCCAGGCAAAGTATCACAAGCGCCATGCGACGTTTAAAAATTTCCGCCGCCATTTTATTTTTTTACTGAGAAATTGTTGGTTGAATCTGTTTGGAAATTTCACTAAATTTTATCGGCAGCACAAAGAAAATTCAGTGAAATTTTCGGACAGCTTCGTTGAACAATTTTTCTGTGAAAAAATAAAATGGCGGCGGAAATTTTTAAACGTCGCATGGCGCTTGTGATACTTTGCCTGGAAGGTGACGATTTGTCCTAGCACTTACCATAAGCTTACCTGAAACTAGTTGTTACTTTCTCGCTCCCATAGGGTAGAGAGGAAGTATTGTCATCCTCCAAAAAAAAAAAAAAAAAGTTGAAATTTCATCATTTCTAGACGTTTTAAGGTCCCAGGAGTAAAAATAACCATACTTGAAAAAATGTGTGTCCGTCCGTGTGGCGTCCCCCAAATCTGTGTACAGCGATATCTCAGAATTTATCTGTTCGATTTCATTCAAAATTGGCACAGGACACCATATCTATGGTCTCCTTATGCACGTCCAACGATTTTGAGGTACGCTAAAATTTGGGGGGGCTAGGGTCAAATTGGGTTAAAGGTCCATTTTCAGCAAAATCACACGGAAAGCTCATTTTGAGGGACCGTAAATTTTGAAAAATGCCTTTAATTCTTTAAAAGTG